CAGCAGCAACAACAGCAGCAGCAACAACAGCAGCAGCAATACCTGTAATAACAACAGCAACAACAACAGCAATAACAGCAACAACAACAGCAGCAACAACGACATCAGCAACAACAGCATTAACAACCCCACTAACAATACCAGACATACCTGAAATAAAGAGACTAACAAAACATTTTTATTGGTGTTTTATAGATGAAGTAGACGCGTACGAAATCAAGCGTAAAGAGGCAGATGAAAAGAAAGAACGGCTGTAAGTTCTGGATAGAATACTACGCAGCACTTGGTTTCAAATAGAATGAAAAAAATTTAGTTGTAAGACCTGAACGTATACGTTCATTTCCAAAGCACGATGATGATGGTGATGATGACGATGATGTTGATGATGATGATGATGATGATGATATAATGTTGATGATGTTGATGATAATGTTGATGATGATGATGTTGATGATGTTGATGATGATGATGATGATATAATGTTGATGATGATGATGATGTTGATAATGTTGATGATGATGATGTTGATAATGTTGATGATGATGTTGATGATAGTATTGATGATAATGATGTTGATGATGATGATGTTAGTGTTAATGATGATGATGATGTTGATGATGATGTTGATGAGATTGGCGCCAGTGATGTTTGTGATAATAATAATTTTATTGATGATGAAAGTGATGATAATGAAGATGATAAAATGATAGCGATGATGATGATAATGTCCATGGTCATGATGGTGGTTGATATTGATAATCGTGATAATGAATGTTGTTTAATCTGGTTTTGTGTTGTTGTTCTAGGGATGCCAGCGTCATGGTCAGACCCAAGGTGTCCATGTCCTCATGTCTCGAGAACCTCTCCACGCCTGAAACAATTCAAGATTTTTACAGTCCTGCAATAAAGGCGAAAACTACAGCTTTGAAGTATGTTGAGCTATTCAATTCCTTTTTTTCTTTCCTTTCCCTCTTTACTTCTTCCTTTCCTTGCTTGCTTGGCTTGCTTGCTTGCGTGCTTGCCTGCTTGCCTGCTTGCCTGCTTGCCTGCTTGCCTGCTTGCTTCCTTCCTCAATTCATTCCATCTTTCATCCATCCATCCATCCATCGACCACTCCCATCACAAGTAATTTAACATTTTTTATTTAACGTCAACTTTTTCCTTTTTAGAACCACTCGCTTCCTAACTTTTCCAGATTATCTAATGATCCAAATCAAAAAGTTCACTCTCGGTGAAGATTGGGTTCCCAAAAAACTAGGTAAGTTATTCTTTACACCGACAAGCCTTTTAAAAATGTCCTGGCTATCAGAGAACTGATTTTTTACCACAATTGTAAATTTTCTCGCGCGCTGATTGGTTAAAAAACGTCGTAAATAAGAGGCCATACCAACAAATGGCGTCATGCAAGATTTCGTGCAGTCTATTTCCTAGAGTTTTGTGAGTTTTGTAGTAAAAAACAAATTTACGATGGTTTAGCGTGATATGTCCTCTTATTTACCACGATATGACGCCAAACGTTGGTCAAAATTAGTTATGGACCCACTCGGCTTACGCCTCGTGAGTCCATAACATTTTGGCCAACTTTTGACGTCATATCGTGGTAAATAAGAGGACATACCACGCTMAACCATCGTAAATTTGTTAAGTAGAGAATCATAGATAATTTTAATTGCCCTCTCCTACTTTATATATATATATATATCTTTAATTTTCAGAGTGAATTTACTTGGTTTGTAAAAGAATGGACCAAATCCACTTTGGAGTAATGTTTTGCCCGTTTCACACTGATTATTAAAGAAATAAAAAACGCGCGTGTGTGCTGTTTGCAGTTATAAAGCACGCGGGGGTTGGCAGAACACAAGAGAAGTGTTAGGAGAAGCACGACGCGTAGCAGAGTCCTTCTCGACATTCTCGAGTGTTCTGCCAATCCCCAAGTGTTTTATAACTTCACACAGCACAGCAAGTAAGTTTTTTTTCTTTTATAAAATACAAATTAATGAATGACGAAATTAAAAGTGCGCGCGTGTGCTGTGTGCTCTTATAAAGCACGCGCTTCCAACCAATCAGAACGCGAGATTTAGAGCAGTTATTATATAAACAACTTTGTTTCAAGGGCGAAAAAATATCACTCTAAAATATTTAGCTTTTTTATAATTGCGCAGATGTTGAGCTAGAGGTTTTGGAGGAGCTTGACTTGACTCTACTGAAGGGAACAGGACTCCAGCCGGAGGAGGAAGAACTCCCTGAAGAGGAAGCTCCAGCTTCTGTAGGTTAGTGTCAACTGGAGAGGTTGTCATATTTGTATAAATGGTAAAGAAAGTGGTTTATTGTTCGTTGCTTAGTGAAAATATTACGAAGAAGGGGAGAAGAAGAGAAGGAAGCAAGGGAGGGAGGGAGGGAGGGAGGGAAGGAGAAAGGGAGGAATGGAGGGAAGGAGGGAGGAAGGAGGGAGGGAGGGAGGTAGTAAAGGAGCAAGCAAGGAAGGAAGAAAGGATGGGAGGAAGGAAGGAAGTGATCAAGCAAGAAAGTAAGCAAGCAAGCAAAGGAGGAAAGAAGGCAACAAAGAAGCAAGGAAGGATGACAGGAAGGAAGGAAGCGACCGAGAAAGAAAATAAAAAGTAGCATAAATATTTCAATTTCTCTGAATAAAACGCAACATTTGGCCTAGTTTAATGTGTCTTTTTCTTATCAGAGCCAGACGTCGATGAGGGAGTTGTCCAACAGCTCGTAGACATGGGCTTTGATCGACAGGGATGCAGAAAAGCAGCTCACTTCACAAACAATCAAGGTTAGATCAGTTACAGTTAGATTCTGTTTAACCTTCTTACTCCTTGCTAATATTATTAATATTTTACCTTCAATTCAAGGTGTTGAGGCTGCTATGAACTGGGTGTTAGAGCATATGGGTGACCCAGGTGAGTAAAATCGAGTATATTTTAAAGCAGTCGTTAAACGTTTTGCAAAATATTGCCTGATTTCAAGCCGAGTAAGGCTGGGACCAAGCTTTTGTTTTTCCAGACGTCAATAAGTCAGGCATGGCAATAATACAGGCCCAGGGTTTTTACCTTTTTGGCATTACATATGTTAGGTGTTTACTCTCATGAAGTAACAGGAGCATACCAAGGACCAATGAATGGGGGGGGGGGGGGGGGCAGGGGCACCCACGATAAAAAGCATTCTCTACTTTCACATCCCCATAATGCCTTGCGTCTTTGGGGGGTAGCCAATCAAAAATCTGTCCCAAATTGAAAGGTTTCTGAATTGAATTTATACTATACCCGCTTTTATCTGTACAATACTGATTATCAGTTTATTCCAAGCTATTTTTGCGTGTACAGATCATCAAGAGTTTTGGTTTTACAGAAAATGTATTGACTTACGAAAAAATGTTTAAAATTTACGTTAAACGTCTTCAAGCTTCTATCTTTTTCTGTTTTTTACTTCTTCATTTTATTTTTGGATACCAAACAAGGTATTGTCAACATTGTCCGATCAGCCTTCAGCAAAATAAATGGGTTTTTACCCTCTGGTTACCCCCCAAAGACGCAAAGTATTATGGGGATGTGAAAGTAGAGAATAGAAATAAACATCATTATTCATTCAGTTAATTAGCAAAAAATTTGGGGGGTCGCATTCCCTCTCCTCCCCTGTGCCACACCCTCACTACGTTAGTTTGTGTAAAAGACTATATTGTTATTATTGATAGACTTTGCAGAACCTTTGCGGCTACCAGGTTCAAAGCCTTCTGCTGCTAACATCAATGAAGAATCAGTAGCTATGGTAATGTCAATGGGATTTAGTAGAGAACAGGCTGTCAAGGCTCTGAAAGCAACGGTATGTGATATTCTTAAATCTAATGCCATCCATTCATTTATCCATCCTTCCTTCCTTCCATCCTTCCATCCTTCCATCCATCCATCCATCCATCCATCCACCCATCATCCATCCAATCCAATTAAATCACATTAGTCCATT